AGTTGTTGTGTTGTGACGGAAAATAAAGTTACATATTGTAACACAACAGGATGCATGAAATGAAGATTATAAGAGAAAACTTCACTCATTTTTATCACTTAATTTCCACTGAAAAGGAGTCAGGAAATGTACACACAGCATAAAACTTCTGGCACATTCTCTCCCTTTTAATAACCTCAAAGAAACAAAGTTCAAGTTTTAATAAAATAATAGTTGCAGAGCAAGTCAAATTACATTTTAATTAAATACATATTGATATAAATGTAGACCTATTAATTCAGGCTGAAACTTCATTTTATTATCACCAATAAGAGACTGTGGCGATCTTTGTGTCTGTTTGGGAACAGAAATGTTGATTGCTCAATATAGGACTGGAATATATGCATAACATAACAAAGTCAGAGAATTTAATTATCTAGAAAACTGTAAAACCTGCTGACAGATTGTACTGGAGACAAAATGTGTATACCATTTTTCTTTACAGCTTTTATTACAACTGATAAATATTTATCAAGTTATGCTTGAGATATTAACAGAAATGCACATAAAATATCCATTACCATTGTTCAATTTTAATCAAAATTGGAATGTGCCGATAGATTTTAGTAAACTTCCAAGCATGAAACTTAATGGAAATCAATTTATGCACTTCAAGTGTTCCATGCATATAGATAAATGAACAGAATGATTTTGCTAGAAGCGCCACAGAGGATGTGAACGAGAACAAAGAGACATTTTCCATAAATCAGTTTCCCAGTATAAAACAGATAAAACAAATTCTGAAAGATATGAGACCTAACAGTCTCACACTTCAGATACCTGTAACCAGAATAAGATAAACCACACTCGTGAACCATACTTTGTAAAACCCTAAGTAGGGTACTTCCAGCAAATATGCAAAATTATCCAAAATTACAAACCTCTAGGACTTCATCCTGTTAGTTTGGTACATAAATACCAATATTTCAGTAGTACCTGCTGTCTCTAGAATGTCAGTACCTTTCTACCAAAATATAAGGCACTACAACTCAAAAGACTGTCAATATGATACTCATTGCCATGAGAACCCCAAACCTCACACACAAAACTGTTATTGCCATCTAAGTGACATCACAGAATATAATGCATAATATCATAGAACTGTAAGGATATGTAGAGTGATGGGTGCTACTGATATCTCTTATCAGAAACACTCCTAATATATTGACATTAGACTCTTAAGTTATTAAACTATGAATACATTACCAATTAATGTCTTGGTTCTTTAAGACATAACATACAAAACCATGTACTAAACAAAATTTAATGACCTATTCCATGAAGAAGAGATCTTCAAAAGTTAATAGTTGCTTCGCTGGTCAATAAATTCACAGCATTTTATGTTCACAAGTACAAAGAATAAACCAAATGCGAATGCTTATACGTTTACAACCATGATATGTACTGAATGAACCAAAAGTGAAAATAAGGAACTGGGATGGAATGCCATCAAGTATGGTAGATCGATACCTGAAGATGAAGTTAGCAGGCGCCTCCAGAAGCCTGGTGCTCATCTACCAAACTACATGGCATCACATTCCTGACCTTAACCCTTCGACTGTCAAGCCCTGCCAAAAGAACTACCTACTTGAAATGCCAATGCTATTTGGGGGTACATGCAAGGAAAAACCCACAGCACTACCTCAAATTAACTTAAAATGACAGGAAGTACAGAACATGTGTGAAGACCTATTCCTTCCTCTAAGCACTGGTAGTCATACTTAATACAGTCTACTTGCTGAAATGCACTGCCTACTGTGATCTAATAGATTCCTTGCATGAAAATGGTATTGAAATGGATCTTAAAGAAACAAGGAGGGGATGCAATAGATTCAACTGTCTCAGGATAGGTTCCAGCAGTGAAATCTTGTGAACAATGCACTGATGTTCCGTTAAAGACAGGGGATTTCCTGAACACCATAGCAACTATCAGCTTCTCACACAGGACTCTGCTCCTTGGAGCAAGTTAAATGCTGCTATGATGCTCTATCATGAAGACAGAGACTTTCAGTATTCAAGTACATACTGTTTTGAGCAGTTTTATTTATAAGAAACATGCATAAAACTGTTGTAACACTTCTACTGCATCAGGACTTGAGCTGGAATCAAACACTGAACAGATTTTAAAAATAAATAACAGCTTTTTAAATTTTTAGAACATACTGACACCCTAATCCAGTAACTGTAATAAAAATTCTTGCTACCTCCTCTAGTTCTGGCTATTAGTGATAGCACATTATGTGACTGAACACTACCACCTTCAAAGCACTTTACAGTCACTTATCTCACAAATTAAGCGAGAACAGAAGTGTATGTTTTCATAGAATGCAAACACAGCCTACTTTAGGCTACTGTCGAAGGGGACTGAACCTGCAGGCACTGGACCATAAAGGAGAAAACAAAACAAAAATAGTAACTGCCACATGAACTTTAGCTTATCACATACTGTGGAGTGCTGACTCTTCTCTTGCCTGTCATATATAGTTCCAACTGTTTACTTAGCAATTCATGAAATGTGTATCATACATTTACAATCCTGGTGCATTTTCTCCCTTTCGTTTACAGATAACTCTCTCAAAAACTGTTAGATGACTTACGGAAAAAGTGTATTAGCATTAAACGTGCACTTCATTTTTCTCTTCAAATTCTGTTCCAATCATTTTTCACTCTGATAACATTTAGCTAGTAATGCATGAGTTATGCTCTATACATACACAGAAATGTTTATGTATATATATGAAGTGTCCTTTACTACTTCCCAGTTTTAACCAAAACTGGAAGAGGTCAATAAGTTTTAAACTTCCAAATATCAGATTTGAAGAAACTCCTTTCAGAGGTTTTCAAGTTGTTTCATGCATACAGACAGATGGACGAACTGAGCAACTTCAATATTCACTCTACAGGGATGTAAATGTGCCTAAAAAGTACAGGTAAAATACCTGACAAATTTCCATCACAAAACAGATATTCTCAGAACTCGCTAAAAATACAGAATACATATGTTAAAAAAATAACTGTTTGAAATTTGTAACTCATTTCATATTCTATATTAGCCATTTCCACTTCAGTGCCTATGTTTCAGGTGCAGAGTAGCAGCATTTACAGGTCAAGAAAACAGCTTCCTTGATTCAGTCACCATTTACTGTAGCAAGCCCGAACTCAAGGCATTCAGATTTTTCTTGAATGGAAGTAATTTTTCTGTTAACCTTTAATCGACGGAGTTTTGAAACGCAGGTAAAGCTAGCTGACCGGGGTTTATTTAAATGCCCCTTGCTTGCAGGGGTTTAAATCCACGTTTCTGCTCTACGTTTAAATGCCAGTTCCACTTAGAGCGCTTGAGCGTTTTATTTGGAATTGCTCTATCTAATACAATTTTTATGATAAATAAATGGAATTAACTAAAAAATTCTTCACACCGCAGTTCTGTATTATAAAATTTTTCCGCTCCTACACACAACAGTTCTGCAGTATAAAATCTTGCCTTGGGCTTGTTAGCAGAAACCACATGCCATAAAAGTGTGCTGGCCATAAGCCTATATATTTCTATCTTCACAAGTTTCTCAGCTTATTGAGGGTATTTGGCGGAAGTTGATACAAAGGAAAATTGCTTGCCCCCTACTTTCTTTGAAAACCCCTTATTGCTGCCAAACAAGCGTCTTCCATTTACTGGATCTGACGATTCTGAACAGTTTCATCCTGCTATCATCCTGCGTTGCGAAACTGTCACATAAGGACTTTCGTCTTACCCTTATGCGCAACATGCTGGAACATGCTGTAATGTGTCGCTCCCAACCACAACGCCCATTAGGTCGACCTCCCGCTCTGTCATCCACAATATTTCGTCTAGAGGAGGCCAATCGACATCACTGGCCGACCTCTTGTGCCATGAGAATGAAATGCCGTGTTTGTTCTGCACGTGGAAAGAGGAAACGCGTTCAGACGAAGTGCGAGAAATGTGATGTGGGACTGTGCATTCTCGGGTGCTTCAAACAGTATCACACGAATGCAAAATTTAGTTAGACTACGCAAGGGAGTAGCCTGTACAACCATGAAACAGATAACAACAACAAATAAGGTATTGTACATTGCATTTACTGCCAAAGAAGTAACGGGATGCTTTTAAGCCATTTAGAAAAGAACCGGGATGCCATCCCGCCCCACCTCAAGCCTTGGGTGCAAGTACTAATTAACATAACCAACCTAAATGGAGCAGGGTCATTTTCAAGAATCTGATAGTTCCTCAGCTTGTCAAATTCCCACCATTTAATGAATCCCAGAGGTTCATTTACATGTTCACCAGAACCTATACTGTGTCCATGTCCTCATCAAGATTAATTCAGCGCACACACTCCTATTTATTTGAGATCAGTTTTAACGGTAACCATCTGTGCTGAGGTCTCCCAAATGGTTGCTTTTCATCATACCAAAACCTTGTATGCATTTCCCGTCTCTCCTATGCATGCTTGATGTCCATGCCATCTCACCCTTCTTGATTTGGTCATTCAAATATTTGACAAGAAATACAAATTAGTAAGCTCCTCACAGTTTTCTTCTGTCTTCTATTACTTCAAGGACAGTATCTGATCCAAAACGTTGGTAACCATATATTAGACTACGCTGCTCTAGTAATTAATAATCCGTGACAATTAACATCAGAACCGCGTATTTTTAAAGTTGTTTGTTCTTTACTACATCTCTGATGGTGCGTCAGACCTTGAGCAGGCAACATTACGGAATGAAAGTCGTGTTCAGCGACAACCCCAGTATGGCTCTTATGGTTGTTATTGTTTGCTGAAAGTAGATTCCAATTTATTAATGATGATATGACGATCCACACAACTATCTGTTGATGACTCGCCCTCAAAGACGTTTTATTAGACAGTTCTCTTTGTAGATGTATATGATCCGTGGTTAGTACGGTTAGTACCGGTAGTACGCTGATAGCAATGCAATGTCTTTGCTACTGAAGTTCATTGCAGTATGGCACGTGTTATGGTTTGCTCATGCATTTGTATTTCTAATGGAACTTTAATGAAACTACTAGGAGAGTGTTTCATAGACAGTATTAGCCGCGGTAAAGTATACGGTTCCTTTTATAACAATATGAACTGTTTTACAAAAGTAAATGGTTGTAGCTGAGGAAGAGGTTATCTTAGAAAATAATCTGGTTTGACATATTTAAAACTGGGACAGTTATAATTGAAATGTGTGACGCATTAAATTTAATTACCAAGTTACGCTCCTAGTGCCAGTAATAAAGCTTCAGTAACTTTCATCATAAAAAGAAAAACCAATCCGTTCTTTGACTTACATAAGAAATAAGGTCACCAATCTTTAGACATTTGCGTGCGTAGGTATGGGCAAAAATGCATATTGTTAGCACATCTGTTAGTTGGTTCAATTTAGCAAGTTACTGGAGCGTTGCGTTTACAGGATTTCGAGGGTGAGACTTATACAGACAAAAGTAAGGCTTGGGAGTTACGCGTCATGAAATGTTGCATTCAGAACAGTTTATGTTAGAGTTTCATTTAGCTGTTTTATTCGGTACTAAATAGTAATGAGGTAAATAACTGAATGAGCGACTCAAATCACTGAATACCCAGGGGATATGGTCCCCAACTCGCAAATGGATTCTTTCCAAATAGTAAATATATGACTGATTCAGTTTAAGTGAAATTATTAAGAAATGTATATTATATTTAAGCATCCTGTTGCACTATACACTTCTGTATGTAATAATACAAATGCCATTGTGAATGCAACAATTTATTTGGTTGTAGTTCTTTGTCCTTTCTTCCTCTACACTACATGTTTCGGCTGTAACTGGCCATCATCAGGTGTATTTTTCACTACATAGCTGTCACACTGCACACAATCCAAAATCTAAAACGCCAGCCTGTCAGTTTTGTTTAAAATCTCGCCAACATACACTCATCAATTTGATTTTAGAATTCCAGTTTAAAATTTAAAATTCAAAATTCAAAGTTTCAAATCACAGGGATACCTGCTCTGTGTCTACATGTGCTGCAGTGGCTATTTCTTGTTTTCAACACCGTTCATGTATTATCTGTAATACACAAATATTCGTATTACTATCCTATGTTCCTACGTTATTCTTATATGTTTCATACTGTTGTGTGTGCTTACTCTGTGCAGGCTCCCTGTGTGTGTCGCTGCTCATCTTTAATACTTTTGCCATCCGGTGTGTTGTGTTCTGTGTTTTTATGTTGTTGATTTTGGATTGTGTGCAGTGTGACAGCTACGTAGTGAAAAATACACCTGATGATGGCCAGTTACGGTCAAAACAAAGCACTACAACCAAATAAATTGTTGCATTCACGATGGCATTTGTATTATTACATATAGAAATTAAGAAATGTGTTGGGTGCGTCTCGCTTGTTCAAACATTTTTAATTAATTTGTTATATTTTGTTTTCAGTATGTTACTCTGTAACAGAAGAACGTAAGAAGATCATAACACTCATTTAAAGTCAACATAATTGCCAACATTGTAGCACAGTTATGTTGGATGATAGCACCTGTGTTAGTGAAGTGACATCAGCTATAAGCAGAATCAGAATGCAGTCAAGTAGTGTAAATAAGACTCCACTGTCTTCCAGTGATGATATAAATTTAGCACCACAGTCTCCTAGTTCTCTTGTCAGAGAATCTCCAGAGAGTCAATTAACTAACTCATTTAGGTAAGATGACTGGTTGTACTGAATGAGATATCAAGAAATTAGTCTTAGAACAACTTGCAAATGAACATGCAGAAAAACTGTATATACTGTCAATGTAACCCTGGCATATCTGCTACATTAATTGACCAACAGACCAGTTTGTTTCATAGTGACAGACTACCATGCAGAACATGCCCCATTGCATAATGTTATTAAAGTATGACAGTTTATCTTTGTCAAGATTATACTGATGTGATGTAATATTAATTTCTCTGTTTTCAGAATTTAAAATTATGTTTGTGAACCAGATAGAAGTGAATCCAATCTGTTCGCCATATTTTGTTTCCAACTTTTGATGTTTAGTGTGCAACAAAAATGACAGATGTGAATTTTTTTTGCGTATTAATATCTTGTGTGAAACGTCCCTATTCCGTGACAGAAATTCTAAAAAATATTTTATTGGTTGTGGTCATTGTCTCAAATTATGGCCCTTGACTCTGACCAGCCAATGAGAAGGAAGCACTTGTGGGTGGATGGCCTACAGAGAGTAGGGCTCCAGCTCGTTGTGGGGGTTTGGCACTTTTATTAATCCTGAAATGTAAGCTTTGGCAGTCTGAAAGTTTCAAACTGTGCACAAAAAAGTCTGCACAGAGTTCTGACTGGATCACACATGGGAACGTCTGGAAAAGAGTGTGCCATCCTATCTCAGGGCTGTCACATGTCCGGTATAATATACTTCATAAACTATTGGAACAGGGATGTGCCATCATCAATTACTGATGTAGAATGTCATGTCATCACTATAAATTTCAACTTTCTGGTGGTATTCACAGAATATTGGGAAATTAAAGCATACTTACACAGGACACTTCTCTTATAAGGTTGCTTATACAATATGGTGTACCCTGGTTCATAGAGTAGATGGACTTTTAAATGAATTAAATAACTGAAAACAGGTTTGGTGTTTTTTGTAGGTTGAGGGACATAATGCCTTCTGATGCTGCTACTGTGAATACATGTTTTAGGATCCCTATTATTGGATATGAGATAATGGAAGAGAGAGCCCGGTTTACTGTGAGTGTGTTTGTTTGTATGAAAAGAAAATTATTATCATATTTAGTTGTGTCCCTGCACTTTGATTTGGGTGAGCTAATACTTTATTCCTTTGAATAATATCCATACAGGCATGAGAAGTGTGTGTGTCCAGAACTGTGTCTTATCACATCTTTTGATAGGATATCATAATTAAAGTGCTGGTAATACTCCTACCATTCAGGTATTATAGGATTAACATTTGATGCTCTAAATTTACTTCACACTGCAGTGTCTGTAAACTGATGGTCCTCATATTGTAGTTAACATTATTATTATTTTTATTTTACACAAATGGAAAAATTGTCACTTTACAGGTAATGGCATTTTTGGTTGACATTTCCCATTCCAAAGTAAATAATTTGTATTGAATAGCATTATTTTTTCTTGCATGTTTAATGTGTGTAATAGTGAGTCGTAAGAAAGTTGACAAAGTTTTGGGATCTTTCACTGCACCACCCAGATATGAATAAATACAACTGTACTGCAAGGTTCAGTTCCCTGGAAGAAGGCTCTTTGCCAAGTTATTTTCTGGGCTCTCTTGCCTAATTTTTAATTGAAAATTTCACTGTGGATTTTTACATATCTTCAGTTTTAATACCACATACATAAGGTGTTAGTTAGTATATCATAAATAAATATGTTTAGATGTGCTGGTTAGTAAGTGACCGCCTCTGTGGTCTAGTGGTCAGAGTTCCTGGCTACAGATCCAGAGGTGCGGGTTCGATTCCCGGCGCTACCAGATTTTCTGAGAAGTAGTGGGTCTGGAACGGGGTCCACTCAGCCTCACGAGGATAATTGAGGAGCTGTTTCAAGGAAATAGCTGCTCCAGTCTAGAAAACCAAGATTAACAGCCATGGGGATCTGTTGCACTGACCTCACGACACCTTCTATCCGCAAAAGTTGGCACTAACTTCGCTGACAAGCAGCGGTTACTCGGTCAGTATAGTTCGCTTGCAGAGTTTGTTGGTTTTCTGCTGCTAATAATAAAATCTGTAGACTCTCTGTTTGTACTGTGTTAAATTTGAAGTGACAATGAAGACTACAGTTGTATGAATTAATGCCACATAGTTCTCCCCAAACTACATGTCGTTACAACTCAAAAGACCATACTCTCCTTATTGTACTGTTCAATGTGAGACATGGGGTGCCAGTCCTCAGACACCCAGTTATTTTATTGGCCTGTGAGTCAGCAAAGACAGGACTTTTGGCACACAACAGCTACATTTAAATGACTACAGGATAAAGTCTGTCCTGGGCAGCTATTTGCCCTCTCATTATGCCAGTTAGGCATATTCGCAAGGTGTTCAAACTAATTTTGTTCATAAATATCTGCTAGTCTGTCAGCTGAAACATCATTACTTCCATATACATTGGAAGTTTTTTTTTTTTTGAGAGTGTTTATATATATATTAGGCGCACACAATTTATTTTTCATAACAGGTTTATAAACTGCGCATTGAAAACATTGTTACTGGTGACTGCTGGTTCGTGTTTAGAAGATACACAGACTTTGTAAGATTGTTTTCAAAGGTGAGTTCAACACACTGATTATATTGGGAGTAATGGATATATAACTTGATACTTGACTGGGTTGTTATATAGCTAAATTGTGAACATAATGATGGAGCCAGAAGCGGTCTTCCACATATGATCATCTGGCTGCCTGACCTAAATAACTCCATGAAGCAGAATCACTAAGAAGTTAATAGTCACAGCTAGCCTAGAAATGTCATCTGTTATGGAATCCATAGGTTTACTTCCATATTCCCCGGAGTTGATCCTGGTGAGTGACTGTTTAGTAATAATTAAGCAGCCCTTCAGCCATTATAACTAGGGCCCGGATTTCTATGACATGTCATATTTTTTCCCTAGGGTTTATTCCTATTTTTAAATGTAATTATGCATGTTTCCAGTCATTCTTATTGAAATTATGTCATTTTTATTGTGCATATAACTGCATATTTTAGAGTTTTTTTGGTTTTACAGCATATTTTGGCATAATTTTGAAATAAGGTCATATTTTTGTCATTTTAGAAACAATTCTTTGATATAATGTAAAATTTCGGTTCCATAATGTTTAGTATTACAAAATAAATTTCAAGCTGGACTGTTGTTTCAATGTGGAATAGAGTTCAAGTACATGAAGTTCGTATTAAAAACCATATTTTTGACTGGACTGTACTTGCAGTTACAAAGGCGAAAATTTGTGAAATGTAGCATTTATGACCTGGCAAGCCGCCTTTTTCCAGTCGAGGCGGGAGGGAGGCAAGTGTAACGGGTATTTTCCTATTGTACTCCGTCTTACTATAAGGTATATACATCCCATTCTTTCTTGGAGGGCTTAGAAGTATTCTATTTATATATGTGGAGGGCGTTATAAGACTTCAGTTTGACCTTACAATGCCTAAAGTGAGTACATGTAGTTCAAGGAGCGCAAGGTTGCGTAGTTTTGTACAGGAGTTTGGTGATAAAGTGTTTAGTACCGATGGCAAGATATTTTATTGTAAGTTGTGTGGCGTGAAAGTTACGGCAGAAAAGCGATTTACTGTGCAGCAGCATTGTAAAACTTTTAAACATGGTAAATGTTTAAGCAGATTATCTACAAAGGATAGCAGACAAAGTTTGTTGTTTAAAAACAGTTCCACTAATTCTTCTTCTTCT